TTATTATAAATTATTATGCTTAAACGACTTGACTACGACGTAACTAGCAATTTTATTTGATTATTTCACGACGTTTCGACCATTTGGTTGTGGTCCTTTTCAAGTGAAATTTCATCAATTAAACCGAGGTTAACATAACATCACACCGGTGTTATTTGAAATCGAAAGTTAAACGTTAAAAGAGGAACACGTCCCATCGTTATGATGTTAAAAGTTAAAAATTAAAAGAGGAACACGTCCCATCGTTATGATGTTTCGTCAACGACTCGTCGATGTCGTTGACGAAACATCATAACGATGGGACGTGTTCCTCTTTTAATTTTTAACTTTTAACATCATAACGATGGGACGTGTTCCTCTTTTAACGTTTAACTTTCGATTTCAAATAACACCGGTGTGATGTTATGTTAACCTCGGTTTAATTGATGAAATTTCACTTGAAAAGGACCACAACCAAATGGTCGAAACGTCGTGAAATAATCAAATAAAATTGCTAGTACGTCGTAGTCAAGTCGTTAAGCTTATTTTCACCACTAGCGACAAATATTAATTTTGATTGATATTAATTTTAATTGATCATAAATTATTATATTAAAAGTTTTAATTTTAAATTATATTGAAATTAATTGCGATTAAATTATTGTTAAATTGATTTGTTTTGATTGTTATAATTATTTAATTAAAATTAATTTAAATTATAAACAATTAAATTTAATAATTTAAAAATTAAATTAAATAAAAAAATTAAAAAGTATAAAAATAAAAATAATAAAAAAAATAAAATAAAAATATTAAGATTAAAATGTTGAGAGAGGAGATATTTGAATAAAGTGCTTTATGCGTTGAAAACTGTTTATTACGCGGATTCAATACGAGGAGAATAATGAGTGTGTGTGTCCGTCTCTCGATCGGGCGGTCGTCTTATATACCGTCGTCAAAATAACCGACGCTTCAAATCGCGCCAATCACGCGAGGACACGAATTCGACAAAAATCTCAGACGACGAACGGATGAACATATACGGAAGACATACAATACAAAAGAATGTAAATACCGAGACAATGCCTTATACTAATACATGCCCGCAATAACAAGACGGACGACGGATAACTAAATAAGTCGAGCCCAACAAATAAATGCCAACAAAATTTAAAAAAAATTGTAAAACTAGATTTAATTAAAATTGTTTCGTTGAAATTAAATTAATTTTTATTTTTACCAAAATTGATTTTATTTGATATAAAATTGAATAAATTTGACATTACTTGAATGAAGTTGATTGTGACTTGGATTAGACTGAAATTAATTGTGATTTGATTATTAGATTGAAAATAAACTTGACTTGAAATTAGTTGTGAGTAGTTATTGATTTGAAATTATTATTGAATTGAAATTTGACTTGTGAATTGAAATTGGTTGTTACCTGGATTGTTGGACTGAAATGAATTAAAATTTGACTTGTAAATTAAAATTGGTTGTTACTTGGATTGTTGGACTGAAATTGATGATTTGAATTATTAGCGATTGAAATTTGATTGAATTAAAATTAATTATTGTGATTTGGATTAAGTGGATTAACATTGATTTGAGGCTTAGATTATTGGATTGAAATTTGAATTAAATTGAAATTGATTATGATGGATTGTTAAATTGAAATTGATTGTAATTTGGATTTTTATTAGATTAAAATTTAACTTAAATTGATATTAGTTTTTATTTGATTCAAATTAGTTGTGATTTAAATTATTTAATTAAAATTAGCTTTTGTTTAAATCGTTTTTACTTACATCTAGATTAAAAGTAATTTTTATTTCGATTAAGATTAATTTTAACTTATTATTAGATTATTAAATTAAAATTAATTTTAATTAAATTATTAGTTTAAAGTTAGTTTCCATTTAAATTAATTAATTAAAATTATGTTTTAATTCGAATTAATTTAATTAAAAAATAAATTTTAACTTTAATTGTAAATTTAAATTAATTTTAATTTGATTGAAATTATTTTTGATATTACTTGATTTGAAGTGTTGGATTAAAATTAATTTTACTTTAAATTGTTGAATTAAAAATAATTTTTATTAAAATTATGAGATTAAAATTCTTTTATATTTTTAAATTAATATTAAATAAATAAATTATACTAATTTAATTAATTTTAAACTAAAATAAATAAAAATTGATAAAGTATTATTATAATGATAATTATTATTTGATTATTATTTAATGATACATAAATTAAAATTGATTATTGAAATTGGTTTTTTTCTCTTAAATTAAAGTTGGCTGTAATTTGAACTGAAATTTACTTTGGCTTGATGTTGAATTGAAATTGAACTTTGATTCAGATTATTTAATTATTTTATTACACTAATAAAAAAAAATTAATTATGCCTCGAAGAAAAGTAGTTCGAACTGCTGAAAAAGAAGAATTCCAGTGTAATAAACGAGAAAGAAAAGCAAAATCTCAGATGGAAAGACGGGAAATGAAACGAATGATAACTAAACAAGATTGTCAATCTTTATCAAATAGCGGTGAGATTTGTCCAAATATAGCGCAAACTTTAACAAGCTTCTCGAAAAATATAGTAAAATTATGTTGTTCACAATCGGTTTAATTCATATATGAAAGTACTATCTCCAACAAATAATGTTAATGTAACGATGATACTGATATAATTAGAAATGTTCACAATTCAACTACAGAAACTTTATTAAATAACAATATTACTTTCTCTATACCTAGCACATTACACAATATAATTGATAAAAGTAAATGCAAATCGTAAGGAAAAGACTCGAGCTTTAAAAAAAGGATTTGTAGATATTAATAAATCTTATACTACTCAACTACAAAATATCATAGAGTATTACATAGGAGAAATGAATATATGTTGTGAACATTGTGGTGCAAAACATTTTAATTCTGAAAAAGTAGCTAATAAGGGTAATTCATTTAATGATTGTTGCAGCCATGGTTCTGTTAAGTTAGATTCTTTACCACAACCTCCGTATGAACTTTATGAATTATTTATTGGAAATCATCAAAAATCAAATCATTTTTATAATCATATTCGTGGTTACAATAATACATTTTCATTCGTGTCATTTAATGCAAACTTAGCAGATTTTAGTGCGCAAAGACGTGGACCTTATTGTTTTAAAATTTAAGGACAAAATTATCAAATTAATATTGCGTTATATCTCTCATCTAACGAAATGCCAAGTTATGGTCAACTTTTTATTGTGGATAATAATGAAGCAACAGAATGTCGATTACATCGAAATTCGAATCTTGATAAAGAAATTTTACATTTAATAGATAATATAATGCGTACAAATAATGTTTTTGCACAATCTTACCGAATGATGCATGAAGAAATTGAACAAATCACTGAAAATAATAGTATACGTGAATTACAATTGGGATTTTTGACAAAAAAAGGCATTGATCGTGGCCGATACAATGTGCAGAGAGTAAATGAAGTTGCAGCTGTTTTTTTTACTACAGCAGATGGTGAAATTCCGGAAACGTATGTAACAATATATAATAAAAATGAGAAAACGTTACAACAAGTCAGTACAATGAATCTAAATGTAGAACCATGGATTTATCCATTATTCTATCCATATGGTAATCAAGGATGGCATGATAATTTACAACGTAAGAATTGTAATAAACGAGTAAGTAGAGCTGCATATGTAAAATATCACATAGCTATATGTGATAATTTTAATATTTTTATTATAGGCAGACGATTATTCCAACAATGGCTTGTAGATAGTTATATAAAAATTGAAAAGGATCGAATTAATTATTGTAAACAGAATCAAAAACAATTACGAGCTGAGACTTATCAAGGATTAATTGTGTTAAAAGAAATAATTCTGCACGTTCTAAATTGCTGAATCAGATTTCGCGGGTCTAGCAAATCATATGGTAATCGATGAGGTGGCGCATCGAAGAAGGATTGGTGGGAGATGTCGCAGAGTGCGTGGATCCCTTGGTCTTTTTCTCTCGGGAACCTTTCTGGCGTGCGGAAGCGTGGTCGACCAAGAGCGAGCGAGCGAGACAGGCGAGCGAGCGAGCAGAGCACATGAGAGAGAGGGCAAGGGATAAATACCTCAATGCGATATCTAATTTAGCATTTATTGAATTGAAAGTTTTTTTTGCGTTTGCTGCACAGCGTGTGCATTGCTTTATAAAAGAAAGTTAAAGTCTACCACGGTCGCACCACTCTTATAGAAGATGTAAAGAGAGCATTTGTAGTGCAGAACTTGTCGTTAATCAATTAGACAAATTATAGACTTAACATTTAAACAAAAGTGTGTGCTCGTGAGCACGGCGGCTGATACAGCCTTGGCGGGAAGGCTCGGTGGTCAAGGAATTGTAAGGCAAACTCCAAATTTTACTAACACTCAAAATTTAATTTCCTTAATAACTATGATCAACAACAATCCCCTTTCGCTCAATCAGCGGGGATTTGAACGCCTTATCTTGCAATAACTCTCGCTGCCGTTTTTGTTTCACCTGATACGGAACTGAACAATTGGTTTGTGTACCTCGAACGACTTCTCGAAGCGATCTGAGCTCTTTTCCCCAAACGCGCTACTGAGAAGGTCAACGGTCGCGATGGCGGGGAAATAATACCACTTCTTATTATTGTTGACATGTGACCGCTGGATGATCGCCGCGTTCGCGAAGCGTGTACATATTGAGTTAACGAGCAGCCAACGGATGGTTCGAAACATACCGCCCGCCTCGAATTATACATTCGAAATGCTATGATTACAGACATAAATTTTAATGTCGAAGACGGTATATGTGAGGTACAATCAGCCGAACACAGAATCACGATGACAAATCGCAGCATAGTGAGATTATGTATAGACAAAAATAAAATAAGGCGTGAATTTATCCGCGGAATTACAATAATGAACAAAGGATATAGAGAACTCGCAGACATGGTTGTTATAGCCGAACATGCTTCGTTGTAGCGTTAATTGGTGCCGCCCGCCGTGACGGAATGTTTATCGCTTTCCTCATTAATGGTTACCGGTAAAAAGCAGATTTTTGTAAGTGGTCGTTTGTATTCGGAGCGACTAGTTTGAACCGTCACGACGCGCGTCAAGCCGTCGGCGCCGGGATGACATTCGCGAATACGCCCGAGCTCCCATTGACACGGTGGAGCCAATGGATTTCTGATTAATACGATTTGGCCTACGCGGGCCAACCTCTGCGCGATTCGCCACTTCGGGCGTTGTTGAAGGGTCTGCAAGTAATCATTCTGCCAACACTTCCAAAAACCTTTGGCGATGCGCTGGGTTAACTGCCATCGGGACAGTCGCTGTTCGTTTAATTCGAGTACGTTCGGCTCAGGTAGCGCTATAAGAGGTGTCCCGATCAAAAAGTGCCCTGGCGTTAAGGCGGTATAATCGTTCAGATTATCGGACGAAGCGGCGATCGGGCGAGAATTCAGGCACGCTTCAATGCGACAAAGCACTGTGGTTAACTCCTCATACGTCAGAGTATGATTTCCCACGCATCGTGTTAGATGATATTTAACGCTCTTCACCGCGGCTTCCCAAAGCCCGCCGAAGTGCGGGGCAGCGGGAGGCAAGAAATGCCACGAGGTATTGTCGCTACTTAATCGGTTTAGAAAGTTTGGATCACGTATGGCCTGCGAATACGCCTCTGACATCTCGCGTTCGGCGCCTCGGAATGTTGTACCATTATCCGAGTACATGTGTTTTGGCAAACCACGTCGCGAAATGAAGCGATGGTAGGCCGCGCGAAATGTCGCTGAGGAGTAATCGCTTACAAGTTCTAGGTGTATCGCTTTGGTCGTTAGGCAGATGAAAAGCGCGATATATGCCTTGTGAGATTTATGCCCGCGGCCGGGGTTAGTTCGTAAGGCGATCGGACCCGCGTAATCGACGCCGCTATTAATGAAGGCGCGAGGGACGCGATTGACACGTGGTTCCGGTAAATCCCCCATGAGTTCGTTTGGTATTTTAGCGGCTTCGCGAGCACAGCGAACACATCGGTAGAGTACCGCGCGGACTGTCGTGCGAGCACGCAGGATCCAGTACTGTTGCCGCAGGGACGCGAGCGTTAGTTGAGGACCCCCGTGCATTGTTCGCACGTGATGGTGATCGATTATAAGCGATAGGACGGGATGGGACCGGAAAATAATCGGGTGTTTTCTTGTTTCGGGAAGGCTGGAATGCCGCAATCGACCACCGACTCGAATAATTCCGGTGGCATCGACATATGGATTGAGTCCGGAAAGAGAGCTGGATTTTGATACTGGGCGTTGATTAGTTAAGCGCGTTGCCTGTTCCGGGAACATTTCGGCTTGTAATGTTTTGATCCAATACTGCTTCGCGGCTCGGATTTCGTCTGCGTCGAGAACGACCGATAAAGGGTTGTCGCGTTGCAATAAGCGATTAGGCTGCCGCGCTGCTTTAACAAAACGGAGCACGTAAGCAGTAACGCGCACGAGGGTGTGCCAGGACAAAAAGCGAGTCGCGAGATCTCATTGTTCCACGACACCGGCGATACAAATTGATTGAAGATTACGCTCCTCGACGGATGTATCGGCATGATTGAGGGAGGACGGCATGGAAGGCCAATGATCAGGCGATTTTGAGAGCCAAGATGGCCCGGTCCACCATAGCGGATGCTGTTCGATTTCATCGGGTGCTAAGCCGCGAGACGCACAATCGGCAGGGTTAGCTTCGGTCGGGACATACCGCCACTTTGCACAGGGCAGTAATAATTGAACCGCGGAGACGCGATTCGCGACAAAAGTTTTCCAGCGTGCTAGAGATTGACTAATCCACGTCAAAGTAATTGTTGAATCTGTCCAACAAACACAATCAACATTGGCAAAATTAAGCGTCAATTGCACGAATTTTAGCAGTCGAGCGAGCAATAGCGCGGCTGATAGTTCGAGGCGCGGCACGCTTATGGTTTTTAGCGGAGCTACTTTCGCTTTTGCCATGAGAAGCGTAATAGTGACGGACCCGTCGGCGGAAAGTGTGCGAAGATAGACCGACGCGGCGTACGCTTTAGTCGAAGCGTGCGAAAAGCCGTGCAGTTCGCGATGTATCGTGTTAGCTCCATGCGCCGTCCAGCGAGGAATTTCCAGACGGTTAAGAGACTGGAGTCTCTCATGATAATGTCGCCACTGCGAGAGGTAATCGGCTGGTATCTCGTCGTCCCGTTGGCATTTAAGCAGCCACAATTGCTGCATAAATATTTTGGCAGTGATAATGACGGGTGCCACCCAGCCTAACGGATCGAACAGTTTGGCGATTGTTGATAGAATCGAGCGTTTTGTCTTATCGAGGCTCTGGCCGAGAGACACGTGGAAATAAAACACGTCCGGCGTAGGATTCCATGCGATTCCGAGAACTTTAAGTTGCTCGTCTCCGGTTAATAATTTTTGCTGAGCGAGACCGTGATCCGACGGGTCGATATCGGCTACTAAATCGGTACAATTGCTTGCCCACTTCCGCAGCCGAAAACCGCCCTTATCTAATAGTGCAATTAATTGGTTGCGCATCTCACGAGCTACATTTTTATTGTCGGCTCCGAAAACGCCATCGTCTACGTAGATCTGTGAATTTAATATTGGAACGGCAAGTGGAAACCGCGCGCCTTCGTCTTGCCCTAATTGTTTAAGAACACGAAGCGCGAGGTACGGCGCGGAAGCTGTCCCATACGTGACAGTTAACAAGCGATAGTCGTCGACCGGTTTGTCAGGTAAATCGCGCCATAGAATGCGTTGAAAATCGGTATCGCGATGATCGACTAGAATTTGCCGATACATTTTCGCAATGTCGGCAGTAAGCACATATCGGTGTAAACGCCATTGCAAAATAACGGTGGCAATGTCGATTTGCAATTTTGGGCCGACCAATAGCTGGTCGTTTAACGACAAGCCGTTGGTTGTCTTGCTTGAGGCGTTAAATACGACGCGTAAGCGTGTCGTCTCGCTCGTTGCTCGCCTTACAGCGTGGTGCGGTATATAATATCGCGGGGACTTGATGTCCACCGTCGAGGGCTCGGCTACTTTGACCATGTGACCGAGGTCAACATATTCGGATAGGAACTCGCGGTATTCTGAAGCCGTACTCGGCTCACGGTGGAGGCGTTTTTCCAGACGTTGTAAACTTGCTAAGGCCGTAGGGCGTGAATCACCCAACGCGACGGGAAGATCACCTCGAAACGGTAGTCTGACGACGTAGCGTCCTTGATTTATACGGGTGTGAGTCCCAACGAAATGAGCCTCGCAACGGCTTTCCTCAGGACTCATGTGTGATTTCTGAGGGATCTCTTCAATCTCCCAAAAATTGCGGAGCGCGGAGTCGAGATCCTCTGCGACTCCGTTATGAACGTGAACGGAAGCTCGAGGATGGGTGGATGAGCTAGTGACTGGACCGAATAGAATCCAGCCCAGCGCGGTATTTTGTGCAACGGGTTCATTTGCGGGACCCTGACGAATGCCCTCTCGAAGTAATCTTCCGTAGAGATCCGCTCCAATGATTAAGTTAATCGGTTCGCGACTCATGGGATCGCTATCGGCGAAGTTGAGCCCGGAAACATGCCTCCAGTGCCTCGTCGACGGGTATTGGCACGGTAGGTATTTGGTTAATTTTTTGAGAATGAGCGCGTTCGTCGCGTAGGCAGGTCCGTCGCCAGACGTAGGAGTAATCGTAACCTTTGTCGCGTGACGCACAATCGAATCGGCTTCGCCAACGCCGGTGACACGTACAAAGGTTTTAACTTTCGGAAGTTTGAGGCATTGGACGACAGACTCGGTAATGAGAGTCGCGACGGATCCCGGGTCAATAAGAGCGCGCACTGTAACGACGCGGTCATGTTGCGAATGTATCCGTACTCGGGCGACGGCGAGGAGAATTGTCGAGGACGACGGTAGGGTTTCGGAAACTAAATGAATTGCGACTTCGCTTTCGCTATTATCGCGGGCTGTCTCTGGCGCAACGGTTTGGTCCGAACTTGACGGTTTGGTAGCGGCATTAAAGTGTAATAACGTATGATGCCTTTTATGGCACTGTTTGCATACGCGCGAGCTTGTACATTCTTTCATGTTATGCTTCGAACTGAAGCAATTAAGGCAACGGTTATTTTTCCGAATAAAGTCGAAACGCTGAGACGGTGTTTGGTTTAAGAAGGTCGAACATTGGTACAACAGGTGATTGCCCTTACACACAGGACAAGCGAATGTAAAGGTCGAAGCCGCATGTGATGCGAGAGTGTTATTTTTCGTTGATTTAGTCGCGTCTGTTGACTTTTCTTTTGGCTTTACCGGGAGCATTGTCTCTAATGCTCGAATTCGATTGTTCAAGAATTTATTGAGCTCCTCAAACGTGGGATACGGAACTGTAATGCCGTGCTTTAATTCCCAAGCTTCTCGCGAATGTTTATTGAGTTTTTGCGTAACCAAAAACACTAAAATGTCACCCCAATGTTCGACTGGTCGCTCGAGATTTTTGAGAGCGTGTACTGCCGCGTTGGTTTGATCGCGGAGTGCGCAAAGGTCCTTGGAAGTGTTCGCGGAGGCTGACGGTAAATTTAATAAGGATTGTAAATGGCAATTAATTAATCGGCGTTTGTTATCATACCGCGCGATCAAAATATCCCAAGCTATGGGAAAATTAGCATCCGTTACCGCGAGATTGCTTAGCGCGTTACTTGCTTCCCCCTTAACACAAGAGATAAGGTAATGCATGCGATCTACATTTGATAGCGTTTGATCGTAACGAATAAGCGATGTAAATCGGTCGCGGAAGTTCTCCCACTTGTCGATACTCCCGTCGAACGTAGGTAGATTCAGCTTCGGTAAACGAGTTGACGGACGAGAAGAATCAGAAAAACCGCTTACGTCTGCTGCTGTGGCTTGGTAAAATGGTATCTCAAATCCGGCTAATACCTCCACGATGTAGTCCGCGGTTTGGTTGTAGACGTCCTCACACGCCAAAAATTGCTCGGTTTGGAAATATTCGTGCTTCGACTTCATCTTGGCACTGGCTAGGCGCGTAATCTTCGCTTGGAGGCTCTGGCACTTTGCGAAGTACTCCTTGAGACCGGCAAGTCGTTCCTGGGATACAGCGCGGGTCATCTTGGCTTGTCCAAGTTTTTTAAAGTTCGGCAGAACTCTCGAGATGGAATATATCGTTTGGATTTGTTCGGCTAGCAGATCCTCGATGGTAGCCATGGAAGTTATTGGAGATCCGTGAAGCCGACAGCGAAGGTGAACGTTGAATAGTTTGCACAATACGAGTTTGCCACCGATCCGGCTCGAAGGACCAAATGTGTGCTCGTGAGCACGGCGGCTGATACAGCCTTGGCGGGAAGGCTCGGTGGTCAAGGAATTGTAAGGCAAACTCCAAATTTTACTAACACTCAAAATTTAATTTCCTTAATAACTATGATCAACAACAATCCCCTTTCGCTCAATCAGCGGGGATTTGAACGCCTTATCTTGCAATAACTCTCGCTGCCGTTTTTGTTTCACCTGATACGGAACTGAACAATTGGTTTGTGTACCTCGAACGACTTCTCGAAGCGATCTGAGCTCTTTTCCCCAAACGCGCTACTGAGAAGGTCAACGGTCGCGATAGCGGGGAAATAATACCACTTCTTATTATTGTTGACATGTGACCGCTGGATGATCGCCGCGTTCGCGAAGCGTGTACATATTGAGTTAACGAGCAGCCAACGGGTGGTTTGAAACAAAAGGATTGTCTCAGAAATTCAATTGGAAACCAGAACATCCTTCATTCCACAGTAAAATATATATATATAAAAACTAACAGATTATGGGCCCAGCCCGACACGAGACTGACTCGTTATATTTAAAATATTGAGACACGCGAGAGTAAGAAAGAGAGATAAGAGTGTTGGGACCGTGAGAGGAAACAAAAAAAAAAAAACTAGCTCGTTGAAAGCGTAGCAATACGTTGAAAAATTTGAACGTGAAAATCTTAATAATCGCGAATAAGAAGACGGCCGTTGAACGGCGAATTTCGGTGAGCACGAACACAGTGCGTGTGTACACAGTTCGGACACGTGAAACTCAATACATAGCGAAGTAAATAAACACGAGGTATCAAACAGACAAATAGATATCAAATAATACGTAAATACGTTAAAGTAAAAAAAAAATAAATAAATAAAATGGCACGGTCACTCGCTAATATAGAAAAATTAACTAGTAATGAAAATTTCCAAACGTGGAAATTTCAGTTAAGTATTTTGTTTCGCGCGAAAACGAACTGTATGACATAGTCATTACCAAAACTCCCGAAGTCCGGCAGGACGCAGCGTGGAAAAGAAAAGACGCCCAAGCGCAAAAATATATAGTCACGACGATAGATAAAAAACCCCTGTTGCATATAATGCATTGTACAACGTCACACGAGATGTGGACAAAGATCGCGAACATATACGAAAGAGAGTCGGAACAGTTAACGTGTAGCTTAATGCAAACATTCTATACCACGGTGTATGATAAGAATTCAGCGTACGTTATTGCTACGTATATTAGTAAATTGCGAAATATAGTGTACCGGTTAAACGCATTGAATAAAAGGATAGATAATAGTATGCTGATTTCTAAAATCTTGTCTACCTTGCCTGAACATATGAAACATTTCGTAAGCGCGTGGGAGTCGTCTGAAAAAGCAGAAAAAACGCTGGAAAATCTAACTGCTAGACTGATCGCGGAAGAAACTAGAAATCGTTCTAAAGAAACAGAAAACGCTGTAGCATTCAAAGCAACACAGTTGAAATGGTTCAAATGTAAGAAAACAGGTCACGTAGCGAAAACGTCTAAATTGAAAACAAACACAAAGTATAATGGACAGGCGAAATGTTTCAAATGTAACAAGCAAGGTCACTTAGCTAGAGATTGTCCCAAAAATAAAAACGTTGAAAAGTGCGGTATTTGTAAAAAGACGAATCATAAAGAAAAAGACTGTTATTTTAAGAATAAAAAGGAAGACACGGACAAAATTGCGTTTCTGGCTAAAGAACTAAATCAACCCGATACCTGGATATTGGACTCAGAGAGTACATCCAATATGACAAACAGCGCGGAGTACTTCAAAAACATGAAGAAAATTGATGCAGCAATTGGAGTAGCAAAAATGAACGAGTCGATGGCGGCGAAAGGAGTGGGCAGCATAGAGTTCGATGAGTGCCAATTGAAAGAGGTGGTATACGTACCTGAACTCAGTACGAATCTGCTGTCGGTAAATGCCATAACCGAAAGCGGTGGCGAAGTATTGTTCAGTAAGAGTGAAGTAATAGTAAAACGCGAAAAAATTGTTGTCTTGAAGGGCTCGAAATTAAAGAATGGCTTGTTTCAGATAAAACTGAAGCCGCAAAAGCAGCATAAAACGTATCTTGCAGAGAATAAAGACAAGGAAATAAAAAACTGACATAGAAAGCTCGGACACATCACACAGGAGAATCTGAAGAAACTCACGATGCTAAGTGAGGGAATAAACTTGTCAACGCGTGACTTGGAAAAACCTACAGAAATTTGTGCAACGTGCCAAGAAGCGAAGCAGGCAAGGACTAAAATAGGAAAGGCCAGGACGAGAGCAACAAGACCACTTCAGATAGTGCATACCGATCTATGCGGTCCCATTAAACCAGATACATGGGACGGAAAAAGATACTGTGTGACTTTCCTGGACGACTACACTCACTATGTGATGGTCTTCCTGGTGAAAAGCAAAGCGGAAGTTCCGCAGATTGTAAAAGAATACATATTAAGAAGCACACTGGAATCTGAAACTGTCTAAGATGCGCTGTGATAACGGAAAAGAGTATATAAACGAGAGTGTGCTGATATGGTGCAGAGAACGAGGAATTCAAATAGACACTACTATACCACATACACCTCAGCAGAACGGAAGAGCTGAAAGGTTAAACAGAACACTGATGAATAAAGCAAGGACATTGCTGTTTGATTCAAAGTTGAATAAGGAAATGTGGGGCGAGGCAGTCTATACCTCAGCCTATCTTCTGAACAGAATACCAACAGAGACACTTAAGACCACTCCGTACGAGATGTGGGAGGAAAAGAAACCGAATCTAAAATCATTTCAAGTGTTCGGCGTAGAGGCATACGCAAAAGTGTTGGGTCCGTTAAAGAAATTGGACAAAAGAAGCGAAAAATACACATTCGTCGGATACGCACCGACGGGATACAGATTGTGGGACTCAACAAAGAGAAAAATAAAAATATCTAGAGATGTAAAATTCAAAGTGAATAAAATAAAACCTAGTCAGATAGTCAAGATAAGACTGAAAGAAAACGAGGAAGAGGAGATAGACGATCAGATACAAGAAGATGTATCAGAAGAAGAACAAGAAAATGAACAACAGGAAGAACAAGAAGAAGAAGCACCTGTAGTAACAACAGAGAGAAGAAAATCAGAAAGAGCCAGAAAACAACCAGATCGTTATCGTGATTATGTCATGCTGACATATGCAGAAACAATAACAGGACCAGATAGAGAAAATTGGATCAAAGCAATAAAGGAAGAGAAACGTTCTCTAGAAGAGAACGAGACGTGGGTAACAGTGGACACGAAACAAGCTAAATCGCAAAAATCACTGAGAAGTAAATGGGTGTTTAAAGTCAAAACAAACGGCACATACAAGGCAAGACAGGTCGTAAAAGGGTGTGAACAAAGATATGGTATCAATTACGAGGAAACGTATAGCCCGGTGATAAGTGTGAGTGCCCTGCGGAGTTGTTTTGCCATAGCAGCGGCGAAACGATATTCAATCGTTACATTCGACATAAAGACCGCCTTCCTGTATGGTGTCTTAAACGAAGACGTGTATATATATCCGCCAGATGGATATAGAATAAACAACAAATTATGCAAATTGAAAAAGGCTCTGTACGGATTAAAACAGGCTCCTCTGAGCTGGAATACGAGATTCACAGAATTTCTGAAGAAAAACAATTTTAAGCCACTAGAAAGTGAGCAATGTCTCTTCAAAAGAAACAATAGCGATTCAATACTGGGAATCTACGTGGATGATGGAATCCTGATAGAAAGCGATCCAACAGAACTGGTGGCACAGATAATTGAAGAGCTGAGTACCGAATGCAAGATGACAGCCACTGAAAAACCAGAAGTATTCGTTGGGCTGGAAATCGAAAAAGAAAATAGAAAAATCAAACTCACCCAGAAGAGATACATCGAGAAGATCCTGGAAGACTACGGCATGAAGAATGCAAAACCAGAGTCAATACCAATACTGAAAGGTGAAGAAAGCAAAACGACACCGAAGAACAGTCTGTTTCCCTATAGAGAGATGGTCGGAAGCATGTTGTATGTGTCTTCAAGTACAAGACCAGATATCTCCTATGCCGTAAACTACAGTAGCAGATACACTGAACATCATTCGCAGGAAAACATAAATGATATAAAGCATATCATGAAATACCTGAACGGAAATCCAGATCAAGGAATAGAATTCTGTGATAACAAACCCGATGATATATTGGAGGCATACTGCGATGCAGACTTCGCTGGTGATACGGAGACCAGACGAAGTACCACAGGGTACATAATCTTCTACGCAGGCGGAGCGATAACATGGTGCTCAAGAAAACAATCAATTATAGCACTGTCCAGCACTGAAGCAGAATATGTGGCGGCAGCGGAATGCTGCAAAGAGCTATTGTATTTAAAAATTCTATTTGAGGAACTGCTAAACAAAAGGATGAAAATAAAATTAAACATAGACAATCAAAGCGCGATGATGTTGATCACAAACGGGATGATCAACAGACGGTCGAAACATATTGATGTATTATAAAATATCGATTTATACACGACCTTGTCAAAAAGAAAATCATAAAACTGAAATACTGTCTAACTGACGAACAGATAGCAGACTCTCTCACCAAACCGTTAAATAGACAAAAATTTGAAAAATATAAAAAGAATCTTGTGCAGTAGAAAGTGCAAAATTAAGAGGGTGTGTTAAAAGAAATAATTCTGCACGTTCTAAATTACTGAATCAGATTTCGCGGGTCTAGCAAATCATATGGTAATCGATGAGGTGGCGCATCGAAGAAGGATTGGTGGGAGATGTCGCAGAGTGCGTGGATCCCTTGATCTTTTTCTCTCGAGAACCTTTCTGGCGTGCGGAAGCGTGGTCGACCAAGAGCGAGCAGAGCAC